CGGTTAAGGTTGGGGTTTAGGGATTGGGGGTTGAACCCAAAATGAGGATCATCTACCAACTGCTGCCGGGCATCCCCGTCGTTGGCCATGTCCAGGCACATGGAGCTATCTTTGGGCGATCTTAACCTCAGAAAGTGTCGGAGGCTTCCCTATACCGGCTTCCCACTCAAGGAGCCGAACCAATGAAGGAACCCTTGCAGGAAGCCTTAGAAGGAACCCTGAAGAGCTTAGGGTAGAACTCTTATTACCTGACTCCCTCAGCCCCAAAACCCGGGTCCACCGAATCGAAGGCATTCAGAAAGAGCCCCGCGCAGAGTCCCCAAAGCCGCAGTCAGGTTGGGGGCTTGAAGCCCCACAGCCCTCAAACCCCGAACCCCATAACCCCACACCCTCCAAACCCTCAAACGCAGACCCCAGGATCGACCTTTCTGTAAACGCTAGGGTCGACGAGCGTAGAGTGCTTGTGCGGTTCGGACGTTGTTTTGGGCGATTCCCAAAATCGGCCGACGGGAACCGAAGCCAACTCAGACGTGAAACCAGGCATACCTATAGGGCAACCCTGAGTTCCTGAGCTCAACATGTAAGGGCCCCCGAATTCTTGGAAGATGGCTTTGGGTCTGCATACTGTGCAGGCGTGTTAAACAACCCATTCTCTGAGAGTTCGGTGCTTTCTGGTCATAGATCTTGGGGCCCGACGAATAAAGCTACTTCTACAGACAGTAGCCGAGAGTGCCCCCACAGGCGAACCCTGATTGCAGAATTGCCCCCCCACAGGCCGAACATGCAAACGAATACCCTAAAGCCTAAACCCTAAACCCACAAGATGTAACTCTTCAAGAGCCCTGCCCTCCAAAAGAAGTTGACTACAGGGGCTCTGAGCCAGGCCTTAGGTGGAAGGAACCTGGAGCACCCACGTCATTAGCTAAGAAATACGGGAGTTTCCGAATATAGTACCCTAAATAATAGGATCCTTATTATAAGGACCCCAAAATAAGGTACCCTAATTTTCGGAAACCCCCATACACCTCAAGTTGTATGGAGCATCTCACTATGTCGTACGACGTATTTTCGGG